CGTCGGGTCGTTCTGGTCGGCGCCGAGGACGACGACGACCGCGGCCGCGAGGAGCGACAGCGCAGTCGCACGGTGTGGCATGGCGATTTGCGTTCTGAGCTCGGGGCGTGCGAAACTGCGTTGCAGGATCCAGCGACTGATGATGGGTATCGATACACTGGCGCGACCAATGCCAAAGTGGGATGTTCCATCTGTTTAAATCGCTCGACCACCGGGTAATATTCCAAACGAGCGCAAATCTTCCAAATCCACGCGCTTCCAACGCGTCAACCGAGCGCTGCTGGCGACAAGGACAGCCTCTGCAGCTCACGAACAAGTCGCGATCGACCAAGAAAGAAAGCGTTGCGGCATCCCCTTGGTCAGCGTAGAGGCGCGACAAGAGCGTCGACCTTGGGACCCTTCGACATTCTCCCGTCGAAGGATACATAAAACGCGCTTTTTTGGAAATTTACCGAAACGGACGCCATGTAACGGGCAAGGTCGACGCCAATATTTTGCGAATGGCGTTCGATCACATGAACAGATTCGTGCACTGGACGCAGCACGGTGGCAGAGGTTCCAGAAGCAGGAACCGGCGCCGCCATCTTGATGTGAGGGAGAGGACGACGAGCGAATAAGACGAAGAAGACAAGATTGTTTCTCCGTCTCTTGCGCGCGCACTGGTGCTGGTCGCAACGGAAAGCTTTGTTGCTATGGTAGCGGTGCCTCAATGTACGACACCGTTGTAGCTGCTGCGCCATTCGTCTCGCCAATTATCTGGAAGCAAAGTTCGATATGCTGGACGCGCCATGGAACGGCAGAGTTGAGGCAGGAGCTGAGCCTTGGGCAAGCGGCCACATGCATCTACATCTGCCCTTATTAGTCATCCCTCGCCACATGTAGGACTAAAGACCGACACCAACCCACCTGTTTACCTTCCTTTTGCATGACAGGGTGCATTGCTGTGTGAGTGAACGAGCCAGACTTTGACCGAGAACAGTTTCGCGCCCCCACAATCTTGTTGTTCGCTTGCCAGACATGAAGAAAATTTCCATCAACGGACTCGTGGAGCTGGTGGCAGCTTTGTAGCATGGGTGTGGAGTGTGCTGTGTTGGCATACTATACCTAAATGTACGTACTACAGGTACAACGAGACTCTGCGCAACATGGAGCCCACGTTGCTGGCTACCGTCAATGGCTACTGTACTAGATATGTGGAAAGGGGTCGATACGGGTGGCAAGCACAATAATTTTCGCCATGGGGCGGCAGAGGTGAGCCGTCAATATAAAGAACGTGTGGGCTCCAAACGCGAGGAGGTTTTTGGCTTGAATTGCAAGACATCAGATTGCAAACGACTTGTTTGTTAGCTTTAGCTGCTCAGCAGTGCCTGCTCAGTCACGTCACCCTAGCCCTCACAGGACCAACTTTTATGCATGGATATGATCCCAGCTGGTACGAATACGTGATGTGTTGTTTTGATGCATGTGTGATTGTTACATATATTGCGCGACGCGACAATTGCTTGGGAGCTTCCAGTCAAATCACATTCGCTGTACAGTGGGCACCTCCGAGCCGATGCCTTGACGGCGCCACAGGATTGATTAGCACTGGTGCTGCAAGCACACGGAAGCAGTGTTCAGATTCGTGCGAGTAGTGCAGGTAGTTGAGGACGACGTTTCCACACACAATCACAGCGGCGCCGCTGCCTGCGTCTGGTTCAACGTCTGGCGAATCCGGAACGATCGCGCAGACCTACCACTACCAAGTCCATGGACGATTGCCGCCAAGGCGGCGCGGGTCGCTCAACTGCACTTGCACCACAGCCTCGTTCAAGAGCCCAACACGAGTGGCCGCGACTCACCGCGTGTCAAGATGCAGATGACACCCAGTCGACCACGTTTTGTCCCGTTGGTGGATTCCTGCTTCACACGCATGAGGAGTGGGGCTCGAGCCACGTTTCTCAACCAAGCGAACACTACGAAAAAAGCCTGAAGTTGAGTGAACAGCAACCACAGTGGCGCTTCCAGATGTGGTCCCTTGTAGCCAGCCCTGGGGCTCCTGACACACTCTAGGGGTAGCAACTGGATGAATTGTCGATCTTTTTCAAAAACACGCTTAAGGCTTGATAAAAACCATGGTGGGAACGGGGCTTCGTGGACAGGTTGTCCGAGTTTCGATACTACTACTGTCATATTTCGTCCATCCCCTCTTCGTATTGCTCTTCTTTCTGAGCTCTGTGGGCGATGTCTTTAATCGCGCAGGCGTCTCCTCCGACGTCAACCACCATCCTCTTCACAAATGGGCACCAGCACTCGTGCATGAGGCAGCTGGACTCACAAAATG